GAAAGCAAACAATTTAAATTTCCAGGATTACACTAAACAGAAGTGAAATCTGGCTACAGTGATTACATAAATATCAAGATCCCCATCTGACTAAGGCTCTGTGCCTTCTTGTCATGGTGAAGCCTGTTACTACTCAGGATGATTTTGAGTAAGTTTGGCTGATTCAAGAGATGTAGGTTGATTTCCCTGTTATACACACTGAGCTTGTTGCCAATTTACATCTCAGATTTCTGGTCCCACAGATGCCATTCTTAATTAAAGAAAATTCTGCAAAAAAAAAAAAAAAAAAAAAAAAAAAATAAAGACCTTTACAGCCTTGCTGGGATAAGAAAGATTAAGAAAATCCCATCACTCACTACTGAAATATGCAGCTCTTCCAGAATAAAGCATGGCAGCAATTTTAATCAGCACATAGATCAGCTCTTTAGAATTAGCAATAAAATAAAATGTCAAACTATAATACCACAGGGAACTGACAAAGACAAAATGTAACTCATTGCCACAATTATTTCACCAGAATCAAAACTACTAAATACTGATCCCAAATAGGATATATGAGAAGAGGAAAGAGGAAATATTGGGGAATAATATCAGCTTTCTGATCAGAAACATGTAGTAAGTAAGGGAAGTACATTTTTTAAGAATCCCATTCAGTGAGATGACACAGGTCTGCAAGTGAGTGAGTCAGAAAGTGGTTTGAAATCACTCAAATTTGACTGAGGCCAGGATTTTATCTCTGCACTTCTCCTGGTGCCCTCAATTCTCATCCTAATGGCAGCTCTGTGCACTCAGCACCCTGCACTCCCATCAATAACTCAGCAGTGAACCAGCCAAGCACAGCAAACCCAAGCTGGATCGATAGGATGGACTTCACAACTCTGTGTATGTGTTTCTAAATTCTAATTAAAAGGCTCAAATTTCCAGTCACATATTTCATTCTCTGAAGGGTCTGAGTGTTTTCATAGCTTTCTGATCATCACAACCAGACACACACACACACTATTTACTCAGGGATATATTTTTCCCATGACCTTACAGACTCACTTCTCTGTCATAGGGAGTTCATGGAAGGAAGTTCGTTAGAAGTTAAACATGAGGAAGTGCAATAAAGCCCATTTATCTCACAGGAGTTAAAAAATTAGTCCAACAGCACGGAACTATTATAGGGAAAAAAACTGGTTTTGAGCCTCTCTGCAGCCTCATAAAAATAGCCTGTGATTGTGCAGGGCAGATGTCCTCTCTCCTGTGCAGTGTCTGATCAGAGCCCTTTTGGACTTCAGTGAAATAATAATAATAATAAAAAAGCAAATGGAGGGCAATTTCCATGGAAACTTGGAAAGAGATGTAACATTATTTGCCGTAAGCCTCAGACTGTGAATGGAAAATTTTCTAGTTTACACAGATCTCAGCTATTATTTTCTTTGCAGTGCAAACTTGGGCCAAATATTTTCTGTCATATTAAAGATGCAAACAGTCAGTTTTATTTTCTGTCCAGAACAACTGTGCACAAAAGCTTCAGAAGCTGCAGTAAAATGTCTGATATTCATCTTTCCATGAATCCAAAACACATATTAGAAAAAAAGAACAATTTGGGCTTCTTTTTTGCTGCTTCTCTTCAGAAAGTGAAAGCAGCTTGGAAAACATCTCCTGTTTCTGTGTAATGTTACAGACAGTAGACAGCCAGAGCACTGGCAGATGTGCCCAATCTTAATGGGAGCTTAACTTACAAGAAAGTCCATTGTTGAAGCACACAAGATGACAGAAATGTACCAAAAGCACAGAGTTTACATTTTCATTTATATAATTAATGAAGTGGCTTTTATCTTACATGAGTTTCAGAACTCACTGTCTTGCTACTCTTCCCTCATCCAGCAGCAGGAATAATTGTGACAGTGAAGAAATTAACTTTGAGCAATACAAGACCAAATTCTGGAATTAAGCCTTGTGTGGGAATGAGAAAAAAAGAGGACTGTGAAACTTTTCTCCCCTAAAATCAGCTGTTTAGTTGGTGTAGTGTTGGAGCTCTGACAATGACAAGCCAGCTCAGGGGACACCTCTGCAAATCTGGTGCCTCATCTGTACTAGTCACAAGTAGGAGGAGTCCAGAGCTCTAATCTAAGCTAGTCTGGAGCATCTCTGCATGCCCAGACACAGGCATTGCATGGCCATTCCTGCCCCTTCCCACTCCAGGACATGTCCCCTGTAGCAAAGAACTTTTCTGTAGAAATTCGTGTGGACTTCAGATCTTTAGGGCTGAAATGTGGGTACAGTTTGGGACCATATTTGTGCACATCTGAGTTGTCTTTAACTGAGATAATAAACACAGTGACAACATCAAACACACTCCTGAAGGATTGGTGCAGAGCAGTTGTGTGATAGAGACTGAGCTGGTCCTGCCCTGGGAATCCTGGCTATGCTTGAGAGAGTCATTGTTCAAGGCAAGGACTGCTTAATAAGGATTTGGTCTTTAACAGAGATTTCATCACAGGCTGACTGACTAAAGCCTTCTCTTCACACATTCACAAATGTCATTCAAAATGTCATGTTGATTTTATACCTGCCTGGCCAAGTGAGATGACAGAGCAAGTCAATCACCTGGCTTTGCAGACCTATTTCCCCTTTGACATCTTGAAAATTCTATTCACTCACTTGTAGGTCATGCAAAGAAAGAGGAAGCAGCATGACTCAGCTCCACACTACAATGGCTGGAGCAGATCCAGCCCCAGCAATCCTTTGGGCTTTCCTTACCAAAACACAAAGCTGCAGCTGGGCTAATGTAAAGCATGCAGTGTTTGTGTAAGCAATGTTAGATGGGCAGCAGGCCAGCAGCACTCCTTAAGCAATGTGCTGGTTCTTTACATTGATGGCAAATTGTCTTCTCAAGAGTTCAGAAGGGAACAAAAAAAAGCCAAAGGGCTCTGATTTAAAGCAGTGCCTTACAGAAGACAAAATGCTAAGGAGGAACAGCCTCCTGAGCTGTGTTCTGTAGATGTGAATTTACACTGAAATCCAGTGGTTAATAATGTATTGATTTAGCAAGTTTCACATCATGCCATACTGGCAAATATTTTTGTATAATCTGTAGATCATGTAAGCCTTAAGAGCCATAGGAATGCTACTGACCTTAAAAATCCAGGAACTCTGAGTAAGTTTCAAGAACCCCGAGTCCCAGTGTTTTGTCTAAACTCCATCTAAAAATTAGCTACTCTAAAAATTCAGTGTCATCTAGAAATTAATCCTGATCCTCTACCAGTTTGCTAACACCTGATCCACAGATGTTTTTCATAAAGAGCATCCCCATGGTGAGTTACAGCACAGTAAATAATGCACTGTAAACACACTTAACTTCACTGTGTGAACTCTGAGCAAAATTCATCAAGAACTTCAGTTCACTCCCCAACTGCTCAAGAAAGGATTTGATGGTTATCTCAAAGCAATCTAACTCAGAAGTAAAGACCTCAAATCTAAACCTGTCTCTCAGAACAATGATGTACATTCTAGCCCAGCTCTGGGCAGAGGGATGGATCTGTCATTTCAGGCACTGCACTCACTGGGGGGAATCACACACCAGTCATTACTTACAGAAATGTGGGATGAATGTGAGAAAGAGGCACCATCCCAGACATTTCTCTGAAATGGCCCTCACCTTCCTACCAAAGGAGGGCAAACCAAAGATTTGCTTCCCAAAAGCAGCTCTCTGGGCTGTGTTTGTAAGGGGGGTGACAGAGCAGTGTCAGAACCTGCCTCACACACCAACCAACCTCATGCTGTGTTACAGGATAAAGAGGCTTCTGGGCTCTGTTAACTTCAAAAGATGGTTCATTGAGCAGAATTCATGCTTAACAGCTTTTTTCCTTATTCCTCCCCAAAATGTTTTGGGCATTGTCCTATGTTTGTACTACAAAACTTGCAGTTACCCAAAACCAGTTCATGTGAAATGAACGGAAACATCTCTTTTCATTCCAAAGGAAAAACAACTCCTATGCTGTTTTCCTAAGTGAGCTGAAAACTTGGAGAGAAAACTAAAGCTAAAAAAAGCAAAGAACTCAAAAAGATTCATATTCTGGACTGTGGTTTCTGTTGCCTTAGCTCAAGGGAAAATATGTTCATGGGAAAAGGGCCTGCCTGGAGCCAGATTTTTTTTCAGCTCTGACTCTTCTAGTTGGAGTGGCTTTAAATCAATATGTTGTTATTACTTCCTCATAAACAGAAATATTCTTTATGGACTGTGTGATAGCTGTTTACAGGTGAAACAACCACTTGTATCTTGCTTCCTAGCAATCAGTATCTAGTTCAGCTCCTACAGACAGACAAGGCAATTTAAGAGGACTTTATAACACTAGTTCCAAGTTTCACTGACTCAAAGTGTTAAATCACCTTCCCAGAAGAGAGTTCCTGAACAAAGAAGTGTCAGCTTTGTCACCTACCTCTGTAGCTACACACAGCTCAAGGAAACAACACCACACTTTAGAAAAACAGAAATCTTGCATGGTTTAATTTTGAAGACTCTTACTGTCATGTTTAGGGTGGACTGTCCTTAGTTCTGCAATTCATTTTGTCTTTAGCCAGGACTAAGGCAGATTATAAATATAATAGAATTCCACACTAACCCTGCAAAGAACAGCCTACACACAAACCTGCCACAGGCAGTTCAGAGAATCTGTAACTGTCTGTATAACACTGCAACAAGTTATACAACAAAATGTGACCATGCTGCCCAAACACATCATGCCAGACCCCAAATGTGGTTATTATTATTGTAGATGCTGGATGAACAGAGTTTAACTTAGCCATTATGATCCCCATACTGAGGGGATCAATCCCTTGAATTGTCTTTTGCATTCATTAATGTGAAGAATTACCAAAATATCTAAAATGGTCTTTCTTGAAATTCCTCAAGGCTTTTTTAGAATGACATAGTCAGCTTTACTGAATGTGGAATGAACTTCATCCCCCTTTAAACCTGCAGTGGAATTATGCTGGAAATGGAAACCAGTTACCTGTGATCAATGACTGTGACATCAGATGCAGGAATCCCCAGGACACAACAACTCTGCTCCAGCTCTTTCTTACGGATCTCTCCTTGATTGTAATAATTTCCTGAAAACAGCAAACACAGCAACACCATCTTAGTTTAGGTTGGCTTGGAAAGAATTCCTCTCTTCTTTCTCAAAGCATCAGACGTGACCATCTCACATCAAATAAAGGGGCCTCAGTTCAGGAACAGACACGTTGCAGGGGATAAACCCAGGGAAACCTAACTGAGGCAGCTGGGAAAAGTTGTAACAGAGACCAACTACCAGCAGGGAAATGGGATTCATCATATTAAAACATTGCCTCCTTCTCCACTGAATTATTTTCTTCTCATCTTGCCCTGACATTCCCTTATTTTTTCTTGGCATCAGCCATGCAAAGTCCATGCCAGAGCTCTGATGCCCCTTCCAGAATGTTGCTCTATGCAGGACAGTATTTGCAAACCAATTTTAACTTTGAGGCAATAAAATGAAGAAAAAAAAAAATTCCAGTTGAGTATTAATGAGTGATTCAAGTCCATAGTCAGCTGTCTTGAATTACACGAGAACTTTTTATTGTTGTGGCTGTGAGTCATCTAAATCTAGCATTTCTCTGGAGCAGTGTTGCAATCTGAGCCATCACTAGCAAGCTTTGTAAAATTTTCAAAGAGGGAAAGAGTAACTAGGAAAAAAAAAAAAAGCCTCTTCCTGCAGCCTGTGAGTGAATGGCTTTGGGAGACTGAGTGAGTGTCTGTGGGTTTGCTGAGGAACACGTGAGCTCAGCACTGGGAACCTGGGACTGCAAGTTCCAGCTTCCAGAATGAATCAAAGTGCACCTTCACTAGGAGGATTGAATGAGTACAGCAGGATTTATGTCAGGCTGGTGTTGTACCAGGCCATTAAAAACAGAGTGTTTTAAGGTACAGCTTTTGCTGCAATGCAGTGGAATAACTGACTGCAGGTGATGTTTTATCCAAAGAGTACCACTGCTCTCAAAATACCTGACTTCTACTGAACTCAGGGGAACAGTTCCACAGCCTGAGAAATGTGTCAGGACATCAGGAATATATAAATGCTAACAAGAAAAGATGGGAAGCTATTGAGAGTAAAACCAGCTGAATAGCTGATGCTGCTGGACCTCATCCATGGAGCACTCACCATAGAGAGTCAGCTACTACAGAGAGCAAAGCACATTTAAACTGAGTTATTAATTTAATCTAAGGTTATTCAGTGTGTAAAGGCAGATTTTTTTCACAGTGCTGTAATTCTAATTCATTTCCAAGTCATTTTGATTGATATCTGAAAACTGCAAGTACAATGGTTTTTAAGAAACGATTTTGTCTCGGTGTTACAATTTGCAGAGTCTTTGATCAACTCACTTGTCATCATCAATCACACAAACAATGAGAGGATGAACCATCTGAATCACCCAAAAGACTAATAAGAGGCTTTTTAAGGAAAAATCTATTAGCTCATGAAGGTGCTCTCCTACATGGGCTGCTCATTCCCTCACAAAGACACGTGAGAGAGTCGACAGAAAGCAACGTCAAACACAATTAATGCTTCGTGTCACTGAATCAGGAGTAAAGAAAAGAGAAAATTCAACAAAACAAACAGGAACACAACACTTCTTTGGGGAGTTCTCTAACAGCAGCAGTGCCCAAAACTGAAATGGCAGAGTTGCACTTCAGTAATCTTCCCACAGCTGTGGAAAAGCCAAAGGGGATCCACAGACCTTTGTCCCTCAGCAGAAACAACGGGAAGCTTTGCACTAAACCTGGGATGGGAGGTGCAGAGTGATCAGTGAAGCCACCACACCACTGGATTCAACAACAGCTTAATCCCTGGCTTCTCACCTACGTGGTCTGTCATGACAGAAAGCTTTGGAAGCAACAGAAAAGCTGGAAGTGAACTAGCTGGAGCTTCCAAAGGCACAGGGGGGTGTTTTCAGGGTAAGATGTGTTCGTAGCCCAAGATACTCATCTGAACAAACACAAAAAATGTTTTCACTGTGAATTTCACTCATGGATTCTGGTACAGCAATAAGGTCTCAAAGATCAGTGCAAATGGGATTGTTTCTTATGCACAAAACCCTAAACAATGGAATAACTGATCAGGTGTCAGTTCTGCAGGAAAAAATCTGGAGCTTTAGTAGATCACGAGAAGAGCACATAAGTGTCATGTGCTGTGAAAAATTCTTGTCCTGGGCAGATAGTGCAGCCTGTAAGAATCTTTCCACTCTGTTCAGCCCCAGCAAGGCCTCAGCAGGAGTGCTGCTTCCAGTTTTTGATCACTGCCCCTCAAAAAAAAGATGTGAACCAACTGGAGGAGTCCAAAGGAGAATGATCAGAGGTTTAGAAAACATGATCTATGAGGAAAGATTGCAAGAAATCAGGTTGTTTAGTCTGGAGAAGATAAGGCAAAAAAGGCAGATAACAGTCTTAAAATATGTAAGAGGCTGCTACAAAGGGACACTGTGATTTCCATGTTCCTGGCAGACAGCAAAAAAATAAACAAACAAGCTTAAATTACACCAATGACTCAGGAAAAAGGGATTTGAAGGGAAGCTGATGCAGCTCAGACAGAGACCCCACAGGCTGAGGCAGCTCCCTGGGCGTTCAGGGGAACAAAGGTTTGTCTGCAGCACAGTCGGTGCTGCCTCCAGGTCACCTGAGGGACAACAGGGCCCCATTCCCTTCCCATTCCCTTCCGGCCCATTGTTCCGTGATGGATTGTTATGCAGTGGCTATTTTTAGGTGAGTTACAGGGAATGTATCACGATATTAAACCTGGATCATCCAAGTAGGTCCTCTGCAAGGTGACAGAATTACAAGGAGATGGCAAAAGGCTGTGCCAGACAGCACCTTTTACAGCCCACTGATACATCCACACGGTTTGGAAGTGCCTCAGCTCTGCCACAGGGGATGGATTGTGAAACCTCTGTGTATTGAGGGGGATTTTGCTACTGCTGAAACCAGTCATGGAATCATGGAATGGTTTGAGTTGGAAGGGACCTCTAAAATCATCTCGTTTCAACCCTCTGCAGAAAGTCAGTGCCTGCCCACGCTGAAAGAAGAACCTTTACCTAATATCCAACATAAACCTCCCCTGGTGCACCTTCATGCTGTTCTCTAAGGTCTTGAATTCTTAAACTGGCCGTAAATTTGGTAACAGCTTTAGTAAATCCCATCTTTGCTGTGGATATTTCCACATACAGACAGGTGGGAAGAAAAAGTCTCACTATGTAGAGGGTCAGTAGTGAATGGAATCAATGCTGAAACGCACCCACCAGTTCCATGGTGAGGAACCAACCTAAAGCTTCCCTGGCACAGCTTCAGGCCATTCACAGAATCACAAAATCAATCAGGTTGGAAAAGACCTCCGAGATCAAGTCCAACCTTTGGCCAATCACCACCTTGTCCCCCAGCCCAGAGCACTCAGTGCCACATCCTGTCCTTCCTTAAAAACCTCCAGGGATGGTGACTCCACCAGCTCCCTGGGCATCCCATTCCAATATCTAATTACTCTGTGAAGAAATTCTTTCTAATGGCCAGCCTAAATCTTCCCTGGCACAGAAAGAATGTGCCCTCTTGTCCTTGAGTAATGATCATGGATGGAGGAAGGAAGGATGAAAGAGGAATGGATGGAGAATCATAGAATGGTTTGGGTTGAAAGGGACCTTGATGATCATCCATTTCCACCCCCTGCCATGGGCAGGGGCACCTTCCACTATCCCAGGTTGCTCCAAGCCCCATCCAACCTGGCCTTGGACACTTCCAGGGATGGGGCAGCCACAACTTCCCAGGGCAGCCTATTCCAGTGGCTCACCACCCTCACAGGGAAGAATTTTTACCTAATATCTGATCTAAACCTCTCGTCATTCGATTTGAACCCATTGCCCATTGTCCTGTCACCACATGCTCTTGTAAAGGAAAGGGGCGGGAGCAGGGCGGGTATGGCCGCTCCGCGCCTCAGTTTCCCCACAGCCGGTGTGGGGGGTCCTTCCACCCCGCGATGCCGCACACGGTGGGCTGGAGGATGGGGAGGGGGAGCCTCCCGGCGGGCTCCCCGTGCCGGGGGGTGTCCCCGCTCACCTGCGGAGCAGCAGAGCACCGGGCGGGGGCGCCCCGGCCCTGCGCAGCCGAGCAGGGCGGGGGCGAAACAGCGACTCGTCACGGGGTGCGCCGTCACCACGAGCGCGCGCACCGCCCCGCGGGAGCGGGCGGACCCACCCGGGCGAGAGCGCGCTCGGCGCAGGCGGCGCGCGCCCCCGAAGAGGAGGAGGAGCAGGAGCGGCCCCCGAGCAGCGCCAGCAGCGCCGCCGCTGCCTAGCGACCGCCCCTCGGGCCCGCCGCGCCGGCGGGAAACGGCGGGCGACGGCACCAAGGTTCCGGCGCACAAAGGTCCCACCCCCGCACACACAGAGCCCCTCCCCTCCGGTCCCGCCCCGAGGCGGGCCGCTCGGCCGCGGAAACGGGCTCGGTTGTGCCGCTCGCGGCTCTGCTGATCTAGGGCTGCTCGGGAAATGTGTCCTGGCTGTGCGGCTCCAGGGTTGTCCGAAAAACGGGCCCGGTTCCACCGCTCCCGGGGAAACGGGTCCCGGCTGTGCCGCTCCTGCGTTTCCCGGGAAACAGGCCTCGTCTGGGCTTCCTGGGCTTCCCAGGAAACAGACCCCGGCACTGCCGCTCCAGGGGAAGCGTGTCCCAGCTGTGCCGCCAGGCAGGAGCAGGACCTGCCCTGGCCCGGTCCCAGGCGGGGCGGTGTACGGGGGCTGTTCCCGTGGGGAGGTCGGCGGGGAAAGGCGTCACTGCCCTGACCGCGCTGGTACGTCCAGGGTGACTAATGGTGACTAAAGTTGGGCTTTTCAGCTGTAGTACCTTTTATCGCTGCTGTGGAAGAGCCGTGGGTTAAGGGGAAGCTCAAAAGCAGGGCAGGAGGAGCTTATCTTCAGGCTCGTCGTGCTGTCTGCAGGTCTGTGGGTTATCCCGACTGGAAAACGTTCGGATATGGCTTAGAAGTGAAGGCAAGCACTGGAGAAGGCTGCAGAGCAGGAGGAGACAGGAAGTGTTAAAATAAACATGAAAAGGGCAATCGGATGCAATTGAAAACTTTGCTTTTCCAGGCAAACAGGCAACATGGAAGACAAGTGTCCGGAGCAATGGTGGAGTGTGGGAGCTGGGTGGGTTAAAGCATAAATGGTGAAAATAATTCAGAGTTCAGTGTCTGAGGAGAAGCTCAGCCCTCACGAGGTGTGTGTCTGACTGGTCTTCACTGACTCTTATTTGGGCACCTTTAACATCCAAGTGAACAGAGGGAGTCACTGGCTTGTGCTGGGATTGGAGACTACAAACAGCCTGGAGATGGGCCATGTCACCTTAACTTGGCACTTTAACCACTGTGATAACACAGTCCTTAGTGCAACACGTGCTTTCTGAGGGATCCCGTTTGCCACAGGCTGAGCCCCTGCTTTAATAATGGTGTGGGCACCCATCCCGCTTCTCATATTTAATGGCAATTGTGACAACGTGATAATTTAATCTTGCCTAATGGTATGTTTTTTCCCATGGTAAATCTGAATAGTGATTTATTTGTGATTTTAGCACATCCTGAGATACACATTTGTAGGTAGGACACAGCGCAGAAACTCTTTACTGAGGGTGCAGGGAACGAGTTACACACTCGAAATTCTGGGGTAGGAATAAACGGACATTTAATGAGACTTAAACTTCTCTCACATGTTTCGGAAGTCATTCGTCGCCAGAGCAGGGGCGCGATCTCAGGGACAGCGCAGGAGGCTGTGGCGGAACCGGACGATGCTCCGGGCCCGGGACGGGCTCCTGAGGGCGCATTCATGGGCACGGGGCCCGTTATGGGTTATTATCGATTTATATCGAGGCACAGCGGGGCGCTGCGGCTCCCGCCCCGCGGCCGGTCCGTGAAGCCCCTCACGGGCCGGGCCCCGCTCGCCTCATGGCGGCCGCGGCCCCTCCCCGGCCCCTCAGAGTGGGGGGCAGCCGCCCCGCCGCACCGGCCCGCGGTCCTGGAAGGGCATAGCACCCCGTCCTCTCACCGCCGCGCTCCGTAGTTACTTTTCCCGCCTGTCGCTTTCGTGCACCGCCACACACCCCGCGACGGGAGGACAAGGAGAGACCCGCCGCGCGCCGGTGAAAGGCACCGGGGCGGCGGCGGGCGCGGTTTGTTTGGGTACCTGCCAGGACCCGGCGGAAGGGCGGAGCGCCGGGGCCGGCGGGAGGGGAGCAAGATGGCGGCGGCGCGGCGCTGAGGGTGAGGTGAGATCGCCGCGCCCGCCCAGCCCCGCCGGGACCGCCGACACCCCGCCGCCGGCCGCCCCCTGCGCGCGCCGGCCGGGGGCACCCGCGGGGGGCCGGGGGGGCGCCGGGGCGCGCCCGCTGCGCGAGCTAAGGGAGGAGAGTGAGAGGAGGAGAGGAGGGGAAGGAGGGGCCCGGCCATCCCGTCCTCCTCACGGGCAGCCCTTGTGTCCCCGGGGGAGCCCGCTGGGCCGGAGGGGCCGTGAGAGCGGCCGGAAGGTGCGAGGGGTGGCGGGTCAGGGGCGCGCCGCGGGTATTCCCCCATGAGCCGTGGGAGCGCGGGACGGCCCGGGAGGACGCGGGCGGGGGCGGCCCCGGCCGACGGAATCTTGGAGAAAAATCCGACGTCGTAGGTGCGGTGTGTGCATCCTTCCGGTGCTGGAGAGGAAGTAGCGAGTAAAAAAAAAAAAAAAAAAAAAAAAAATTAAAGAAAAGGGTCAGTTCTTCAAAACCGGCCCCTCGGAGCGCGGTGGTTCCCGCGGATGTGCTGCGGCCACAGCTCCGTGTCCGGGGAGCATCGCGGCCGCTGTCAGTGCTGGGGAGTTGTTGCTGATGCTGACGCTGAATTATTCATATGGGACCTGTAAACATCCCCGGCTTCTGTCATCTCCGGGCTGCTGCGGGGCACAATGGAAGTGGCTTTTTGCTAGAATTGGTCTGACTTGATGGTAAAGAACTTGCTGATTTTATCCTGTGCTTAACAAACCTGTGGGTATCAAGTTGGTTGCAGTTAGACCAGGTCCTAGATGGATGGATGAGCTGTCAGTGTTGGGCTCAAGTGAGCGGGTAGATAGTCTGAGCAATTTGTTGTTGTCCAAAACCTGCTTCTTCATATTTCACAGATATGGTCTTAACCAGTGTGTTTCCTTTTCATGGCTCTAAATATTGGTGTAACCTAACACAACTTATTACAATGGGGATGTCTAGTCCTGAAGACTTGGTTTTGTGGCAGCATTATTGTATTATGCATTAATTTTAGGTATGGCACTATGATTATGAACTGTTAGAGCTCAGATGGGGGTATTTATCCTATACAGCATGATTTGAGAGGGAGAAAATAGTGCTGTTATAAAGAAAACATTACTGTTGTGATGAGTGGGATGACCATGGGCACAGTGGAAGTGCCTGGATAAGTGGACACAGTTATGCCACTGCACACGAGGACTGTGCAGATCTGTTGCAGTTTTGCACTGGAATTTTATCCCGCAGAATGTTGTTATTCCTGATTAACTAAACAACCTTGATATTTGGAAAGGAAGTCTGTGATATTCCGAGTGAATCTCTAGTTAGCTGAAATCTGGTGTCTCGCATTAGGGGATGAAAGACCTTCGTGCTTATCCCAAGAATTCAGAAGTTCAGGGGAAACAAGCCCTTTTTGCCAAAGCAGGCTTAATTTTTTTCTTGATGTGGCTTTTCTTTGTGATATAGGATACAGGCTGCCGAGGAAGAAAAGTTGTGTTGTGATTTATGTGCAGTATAATTTGCCTATTTGAAATATGCTCTTTGATACTGGTCGCTAAAATAACTCAATTTATTGCTGAAACATGGGAATGAGCAGTATTTTGGAATCTTCTTTCTAAGAGTTACCACGAGCATTTTTTAACATGTGGAGAGGATGTTATGAGTGTTTGCTTCCACAAGTGTTACTTCTCTTTAGCTTGTTAATCATTGCATGAATCAATTAAAGTAACTCCTCAGACTGAAATTATAAACACAGAGTCAGAGTATATTCACTTTTCTACATTGTGCTGCTGCTGTTTTATTTTACATACAGTTTGTCTCCTACAACCACTCATTTTAGTTGCTTCTTCTGTGCAGACACGTTTTTCATTGTGATTGAAAAGGATCTGCAAAGTGCTCTCAAAAACTGTGGTGAAAGTAGGAACAGACCCTGAAGCTTTTTCAGTTTCCCCCCTCGAGTGCCTTCCCCAGTTCTTGTGCCTCTCCAACTTCATCTTTAGAGTTATTTCATTTCTCAGTTACAGAATGAATGAGGGATGCTGCTCACAGGGAGGGAAAGCTGCCTCTGCTTGTGCTACTGTTAAATGCATGAAAGCAACTGAAAATCATCTCCTGAACAATATTTTCTATTTTTTTTCTGTATTACAATCTTAATATTGGCATTTAATTTACTCATTCAAGGCTCTCAGCCAAAGTTTTGGTGAAATGTCTTATTCCTCTTCCTTTATACTTGCCTACAAAATGATTGGGATGAAGGTTTTCTTGCAGGATTGAAAATACTATTTGGAGTTCTAGTGTGTGTAGCTACTTACATTTAGGATTTTAACAATTGTTGGAGCTGGAAGGGATCTGTTCCTTGTGCAGGTGCAGGGCAACACAGAACGATCTTGAGAACAGACTTGTAACCAGACAGTGGTTTCATAATGCAAACAACTGTTTCCTGGATGCCACTCCTGAACTCTTCATGCCATTTATGTTTTTTAGTTAAATCTGAATCAGTGTTGTGGATGTCAGGTTGTTAACTGGCTGTGGTACCTTCCCCCTCGACTGTAACTGGCCCAGATGAAATTTGTGACCTGTGCAGGACTGCTGGCTGTAAATATTTACTTTGTGCTATTTCTAAATTATGCAAATAGCCAGGGGCGTGCTGAATGTGTCTTCCATTTCAGTTTCTCTCTCCTTCAACCATTCTCCATCTAGTAATGGTTTTTGGTGAGGTTCCCTTTCCCTTCTGTGCTGGTTCAGTGCTCACCCACCATCTGTTAAATCACTGCCACAGCCTGGGCCTGCTGGGGCTCAGCTCACAGAGGGCTCAGTCTTACCCTGGGCTATGTTTCTTCCCAGTATCCTAAGGGAGATTCCTATATCCTTGCACAGCTCCAGAGCTAATCCACTCTGTAATGTTGCCACTCCCAGACTGATTTGATAGGCAGTTTTTTCCTTCATGCTCTAGGAAGATGTTGGTCTCTGTGGTTTCGATGTCAGTGACTTCACCTGCTTATGATTGCAAAGGTTATTGCAAAATTAAGGTACTGTGTTGGT